TATATATATATATATATATATATATATATATATATATATATATATATATATATATATATATATATATATATATATATATATATATATATATATATATATATATATATGTATATACAGAGTGTATAAAAAACTGAACAGGTCGGAAATGGTTTTAATTACTGTACAAAATTTCAAATTTTAAAGCCCCGTTTACACTACAATTTTTTCGGCACGGCAAAATTGAATTTTGGCACGGCGCGTTTATATTTTATTTCTTTCCGTGCCGTGCCAAAAATCTCTGTCCGTGCCGAGCACTGTAAAATCTTGGACTGCGCATGCTCATTCAGAAGCAATATGGCGGCGCAAATTGACAGGAAGGTAATTCTATATTAAAAAGAATTCCTGATGATGAATGAAACCTAGTCGAAACGTTCAATAAACTATTTTCGGAGAGTGTCTATTGTTTTGTTCTTTTTAAAATTACGCAATGGCAATCGTAATTTCTAATTCTATATTATACTCGAAAAATCAACAAAAATAGAAAATTTGGACCGAGAAATAAAATACTGAGATGTAAGAAAAGCCACAGAAATATGGTCAGAAAAATTGAAAGCCAATATATGAAAAGGAAACTACGATTAATTGCCCTTTTGGGTCTTATTCTCAACGTACCAAAAGAACGAACATTGTGGATGCATCTAGTACAGATGCATGGTTTCTTTTAGCAGACAAGTTTTATACCGATTTACACTGGTACGCCAAAACGAGTTACAAAACAAACGTTTGATTTTGTTGTTAACTCTTTAATTTAACTCTGTAATCTAGAACGATATCAAGCGAAAAACAACAATCCTACGCAAGGCAGTAACTGTACAAAAACGGGTCGCCATAACTTTCTATTTTTTATCATCAACAGAGGAGTATCGTACAATTGCAAACTTATTTGGAGTGTTGAGATCATTTGTATGCCTATGTGAAAGATGTATACACAGCAATTGTCAAACAATTAAGATCAAAGTTTATCTATTTACCGAAACGACAGGAATTGAAAGATATCGTACATACTTATAAAAGAAAATGGGAATTTTCTGCTTGTTTTGGAGCAATAGATGATACACACATTCCCATTCTTGCTCCAACAGAGAATCACGCCGACTATGTTAACCGTAAAGGTTATCACAGTGTTGTTATACAAGCAGTTGTTGAGTGTAAATACTTGTTTAGAAATATTGTCATTGGCTGGCCCGGTAACGTCCATGACGCAAGAATCTTGTCTAATTCAGAATTTTTTAAGATTGGGGAACAAAATAAACTTTTGCCTGAAAACTATCACGTCAATGTTGGTGGAAAATTTATGGGTACTGTTATTCTTGGAGACCCTGCTTATCCCTTACTACCTTGGCTCTTAAAACCATACCCGGAGAACCCAAATACAATCCGACAGCATAGAGAATTTAATTATCGTTTGAGTAGGGCTAGGGTTACAGTAGAGAATGCATTTGGCAGATTCAGCAGATGGAAGTGGAGATTTCGTAGATTCCTAAAGAGAGTGGACATGGACATAAGTAATTTGATCATTGTCATTGCTGCATCATGCATTTTACATAACATATGTGAAATGAATAATGAAGAGATCCTACTACGTTGGTTGGAGGAATCAAGCCAAGCAACAGCTACCATTCCATTAGACAACACTCATGCTCAAGATGATTCGGTTTCAATTAGAGACCATTTTACTAATTACTTCATGTCAGCTGTGGGACATGACATTGGTCAGGGTGATTAATGTACTAACTTAAATTGTACAGAAGAAATTACTTTTGTTGCATGATTTTGATACAGAATTCATCAATTTCTGCACTTTAAAAATCAAATTTTTGACACACAGCCAATTAGTTATCCATTCTTTTATATAAGAAATCCACGGCATGCAGTTGAAATTTGGCCATGACCACCAATTTCCCACGAGTACAACTGAAGGTTTCTCCATAATATTTGTATAGCTGTCAAAGATTTGATGTGAAATGCAGGCAATTCCTTTCCTTTGTGTTCCTTTATGAACACTAGACAAATACCCTTATATAGAGTCTCCTACAACTAGTGCAAATGTTGATATCATCATTAAATTTGTTCTGTGAACAGTCTGTTATGGACTGCTTATTAAGTCAATTTCTATAAGTGTGCTTTCACATAGTTGATTTAATTAATATTGTGGCATTAATTATGTATTTGTTTATGTAGTCTTGTTTGTGTTTATTGTTTCAAAACACACACATTAATTAATGTGTACCATGCAGAAATACCATTTATATATTATTGAAAAAACAAACTGGAAATCAATGTGCCTTAAATTTACAACTCATCATCAATGCCCAAGTGATATTACCCTTTTGTATGTCAAATAATCTGCATGGTGTTAGACAGGGTAAAAAATCCTTTGGAAGTTGAACAAGTTCTAATGCAATTGTATATTTATTCAGTTCAATTTGGATGAACAACCCAAACATAAAATGAAAAACTCTCAACAACTCAACAACTTGATCTATTAAACAATACAGTAATTATTGATGTATTGGTAGACTATAACTATAACAATGTACTGCAGTGGTTCCTAACTGAATTTATATAAAGGCTCTCCATGGTATATAACCAAGGATGATCGCTCAGAAATTATAAATGGCATTTTCAATTGAAACAATGTCTGTATTAGGTATGTACTAAGGTTGATGCATAATGCATACGAGTTTGTGAAAAACTTTTTAAAACGGAAATAGTTTTATAGAGCAACTCCCATGAACGTAAGTAAGGAATGCTCTACCTAAAAACGACCCCTTATACACCACTGATGTACCACTGTTTGTACACTGTCAAACAGCAATAAAATATAAACATATACATTATAACAACCCTAACAATATTCATAGAGAATAACAGGAACGGAAACCCCCTCAATGTTTGATGATGAACCAGTGTCTGATGAAATATCAGATACATTAAAAGGAGTTCAGTTGAGTTGATTGATATAAGATGAATTATGTGAGAAACCATTAAATTAATCTGGTAACTGGTTTCGGCGATACTGGCTTAATGGCTGTGGTACATTTTGGCTTTGCATGTTATTTCCCATTAAAAGGCTAACGATTCTCATTTCATGTTCCCTCTCTTGTAATCGACGTTGATTTTCTAGATCTTTAATTGGAAATCCATTTCTTTTTGATACCTTTCATTTTCTGTTTTTAAACTTCTGCCAAACGTAAAGAACAAGATAAAGCTAATTAAGTTAATTAAAGCACACGAAGGTGTAGCACATAACAAATCAAAGCATTTGATTGTGCGAGGGGGATGAAGACATCTTGAAAATAGTTCTTTTTTCTAGGCCCCTGTAGGGGTTATCGCTAATCTTTGACACCTCTCCTCGATAATTTTTAACAACCACCCCCCCCCCCCTGCCGACACCGTCCATTTCTATATACACGAGGAAACTTTGTCAACAAATTCTAACAATTTTTACTAACATATAAAATTCGAATTACAATTAGTGGTTAATAAGGAGTTAATCTAACTTTAACGAAACATGGAGTTAGAAAGTTCAAAATTACCCCCAATAAACTAAATAGAGAACATCTAGCAGCAGTCTGGGGTGAGGGAT